CTTTGAAAGTATCTTCCTAAGTCAAGCATTTTAAATTTTTAATCAAAGATTGTTTTCCAGTTTAGAAACTCATGCCCCTGTGCCTTGCAGAATCTTATTAAGGGCCTATTGCACATAAACATGCAGATTCATAAACTCATAAGGAACTTGCCATTTCAACACACCCTACACACCAATCCATGTTAGATGCTTTGTAATGAGAATGGAGCAAAGTAATTTTAAAAGCCTAGATGGGTTGCAAACACTCCTTCAACGTAACGTGGCTGCCAGTCTGCACCAGGCTGGTGTCTCCATGAGTAAATCCTCAGGCTCCACAGGCCCATAAAGAGACTCTTTTCTAAAGACACAGTTGACTTAGAAGATTTACTACCGCTCACTTCAATACCTATCTTCCAGAACTGTTAAAACAATATAATTGTCAAACTAGTGTATTGCGAATCTCATTTTTATTGTTAACATTTGCCACTGAAATTGCTCTTTAATTGTTTGTTTTGGAACAGACACATAAAACATCATGACAGCAATACTTTGGCATATATTGGAAAATCTGCCATGAATAAAGATTTTTTCCCCCAATGAAATACAGTTTGCCTCTATTACTTGGCATTAAAATGATTTACTGAAATAGGCCAAAACATAAACCACTGAAATAAAATGAAGAGAGACTACAGTTGCAGCAAAATGCAAAGGCCGATCTATTCAGCTGCATAATTGAGACACATTTCAATGCAACTTTGACGCCCTAAAAAGTGGCCGAAGGGGAAAAGGTGCCTCCATCCTGCTCACCCCTCAACTATACACTCCAAAGCCAACCCACGGGGCACTTGTGAGGACTCACTTCCTCTGGAACCACATTGATTAAGCAGATCCACATGCGTGGCCATGATGTGGACCCTGGGAATCCATTCGGCTAATCCACCGTGTGCCCACTGAGCGTCCACTCCCTGCCCAACACAGCGGCCGTATTGCCACAAAACCTCAGTGTTCTCACCCAGGTGGCCTGCCAGGAAAGCAGCACCCGGCTGCTGTGACAGCCCCTTTTTGTCAGCCAACAGCTACCTGGCTTTCAGGGCCTGGCCTGCCCAGAGCGGGGCACAGCGCAGGATAGAAAACCTTTCACCCTGAGTGTGGTGTTAGCGCTCCCGGGCCCTGGGATCGGACCTCGGAGACCAGCTCTGCCTGTTAGGCTTCCTTCCTCTCAGCCCTTTTGGCTCATCTCAAAAACCTCATCTCCCAGAGGTCAGCTTTCAACCTGTTTCAAGTTTCCAGTGTAACCCATGACGCCAAGCCTGATTCTCTCCCGGCCCCACCGCGGTGGCCAATGGCCACCTCCTCGTTGCTCATAGCTCCGGCAGCACGGATGCTCTGAAGGTTTGATTGAAGTAGAGGGCACTGATTTGAGAGAGTATAAGCTATTTGCACGGAACCACCCCGGCATAACGCCCTGCAGGACCAGGGCCCAAATGGCCCCTTATCCTCTCTCCCTACGTTTCCCTGTGGTCTCTGGCCCAGGCACACCAAGCTGGATGCCCTCTCTCCACATGACACCTCCCTCAAGGCCCCACTCAAAGGTTACTTCTGTGACCCTCCTCTCCCCGACACTGAGCAGTGGGTCCCTCCCTCCCCTGGGACCCACAGTGTCCTCTCCTCCCTCCATTAAGTCCCATGCTGCTCCTGACCAATTCTGTGCCCACGCCTGGCTCTCTCCCTGCCCCGCACACCAGAGGGCCAGACATTGGGCACCCAGGCAGGAGGCCTCACTGTGTCTCCTGAGTTGGCAGTGACAATTGAAGATTACTTTTATCTTTTTGAAAATATAATAAAAACTCCTTTCCATGGGTTATGTCTTTAACCAATGCGATCCATACTGGGAGCTCTCGGTTTTAGCTCACAACCCAGGGAATCTTTTCTTAAAGTTTGTATGTGGCTCTTTTGTGCCAACGGGACATGAGATTCGGAATTCTGCTCTCTTCATCTCCGCTCTCCTCCTGGCCTGCAGGACAGACACAGACGCTGCCTGCAATCCCAGGCCAGCAGAAGAGAAAGGTTTGCTTTCTCAATGAAAACCACGCAGGGGAGGAGGCATTGCTGGTAGGAGCACAGCATGTGTGGAACTCTAGAAAAGAAGAAAGAAGTTATAAAAGACTGTAATTGGGCTCTAAGTACATCAAAAAGCAGCTGGAAGACAGTCAGAAGCTAGGAGAAAAGGGGGGGGGGAAATCCAGAGGTCACAGTGGACCACCAGCTGAATGATTCAAATGCTGTTTTGCTTTTTGAGTGAGTGGCTAGAAGACGCAAGCAGTAGACAAACGTGCAGGACCCTGCACAGTCTTTTCATTTCCTCCTTCTGATCAAATCATTGCTGAAAGCTGCTACGTATATCCAGACCCCACATATGCTCTTGAACTTAGAAACCAAACCTAACTAAAGAATATCCTGTGTCTTCTTGGAACTAGGAATCCAACAGTTCTAAGATGTACCATTATTTTATCAAACAGTAAGAAAAATGCTGCCAATTAAACTACGACATGTTTTTTTTTTATTACCTCAAGTTTTTATTTTATTTTTATGGAAAAGGCTATGTGAGACTTATTCAGACATACATTCTTATAGGATATCTTTCTTGGGCACATAAAAAAAAATAAAGGCAAAATAAACTGGTTAAGACACTGACAACCGGGTCACCTAGCTGAGAGCAATTGTAAGAAGCCACTGATTTGGAAAGTACATCTCATTTTCAGAAACGTTAAAATCTGGGGGGGGGGGGGGGGGGGGGGGGAATTGCACGCACCGTAGAATCAATAAAATACTATTTTATGCCTAGTTCAGTGGCAAAATTTAGAAAGGACATGGTAATAGTTTACAGAATAACTGCTACAAAGAAAGTTCATGGATTAGGAAATGTATTGATACAGAGGGGGAAATTTGAGATTCTTCTTCGACTCAAGAAGGACGAAAGTAGAATAAGGGTTTAATTATTCTCCCCTACGAGAAGCCCGAGCAGAGCGCTGCTCCGGCCGAAGGAAGCGCCTCGCCCTGCACCTGCCTGCGAGGTCACGGGGCTCAGGACCAGCTGAAATCCTGGCCTGGAGAGTAGAGGTCACCGTCTACCCACCCCCGACGATGCCACAACTCAAGAACGAGGCCTTAAACCGTGCATTACTCAACGAAACTCTCACTGTGGCCTGTACAATGCAAAGCCTTCCCAGGTGCTCGTTATGCAAAGACTAATCGAGTACACGGAGGGGTTTTGTGGACCTGCAAGAAGAAATTTCCACGTGCAGCCTTCAGACCTTGAGGTGATTGCCAAAAGGTAAGGCTTTGTTATCAGGGACCCAAGGAGCTGTACTGACCTCAACAGGGTAGAGGCCCCCCCGCCACAGCAAGGGTGAGTCCCCCACCCTGCGGCCCATGGTAGCTCTGTCTGCAACTCGCTTCTCTCTCTTTCTTGTGTGTGTGTGTGTGTGTGTGTGTGTGTGTGTGTGTTGTTTTATTTTTAATTGATTTGAGAGAGGAAGGGAGAGGGAGAGAAGAGAAACTCGACTTGCTGTTCCACTCATTTATGCATTCATTGATTGTTTCTTGTGTGTGTGTGTGTGTGTGTGTGTGTGTGTGTGTGTGTGTGTGTGTGCCTGACCAGAGTTGAGCCCACAACCTTGGTCGACACTCTGACCACCTGGCCAGGGCTAGCACCATCTCTTTTCAAATGCAAGACCGAGGTGGCTGAGTTTGGACAGCACAGGATCTTGCCACTATGCCCGAACACAGCACCTTACCACGCACTCCTTCAGAAACGCATCCACCCCCACAACAAACTAGCAAGCAAAACGCTTTAGAATCCCCACTCGAAAGCTCTTGATCTGCACGTGTCTTCGCCCCCCCCCCCCCTTTCCTCCATTTCTTCTCCTAATGCTGCTTCTAAAATACTATTTGCTTTTCTTTTCTCAATTACAGTTGACATTCAATATGGGTCTGTGTTAGTTGAGATGGACATTGGTTACACCCTTTTACTATTTTTGAAGCAACTTCAATCCGGGCTCTAACCCACAACCACCCCTCCCCACCCAATTCGAACAGCTCAGCAGCTCCAGCCAGCTCCTCTGACAGCCAAAGGGAGCTGGAGCAAAGAAAATTACCGTTTTCCCCGTGGAGCCATAGCAACATACAAACAACTTGCAGATTAATGCCTCAGAGGATTAAAGAAAGCTGGTTTTCCGTGTGGAGGGTTAGCAGCCCATCCCAGTTATTGCTCCGACCATGACGGAGGTAGGTTAGGCTGGTCTGTCCCCTCCTTTGCCCCTGGCGCTTTAGGCAGCTCTGGAGGGAAAGTGTTTGGCAAAGGGGGTACCTCCCTCTCCCCCGCCCCCATTCAGGGAGGCATTTCCTTGGTTAAAGGTGCTCCCTTGCTGTAAGCACCAACTCGGTTTTCCACCTGATTTTCCGATCTGTGTTTATTATAAGCAGGGATTTCCCGGAAGTGAGAAAAGTCCATCCGCATCCCATTTATTCCCTACACGTAGAACCTCAGGTGAAAGGCTTTCTGGAACAGATGGCTTCCAATTAAGTGGCGTTCTGTGAAGAAATGGCGTACGGAAGCTAAGCCACGCTCCGTTCTGAAGGAGATTGTGCTCACAGGCATAAACTGTTGGTCTGACCCTGTGACTACAGAGGGCTTCACATGGAACATGAGAAATTCATACGGAAGAACAGTGGTCATTAGTCTTCCCTTCCTCCACAAACCAACCTCAGAAAAAGTACTTCCCACGTTAGATAACATGTGGTCTTCCGTCAACAGAAATAAAATCAAGGACTGTGACAAGAGGGCAGTGTCCCTATGCAATCTCACAGTGGGACGGAGCGTAGACAAGGAAACTGAGGCCCAATGAGGCTAAGTCAGATCATGAGGAACACACACAAGTCTTCCGGGAAGTTAGGGTCAGTGCTCTACTGCGCAACATGGTCAAAACTTTAAAAAGTTTTTAAGTTTCATATTTCCTTACCAGGATGACTTCGAAAATGAGCGGGACCAGTTTGCTCTCCTCCACAAGTCTGTTAAGAAATAAAAAGATAACCACACGTCAGACGGCTTGTGTGTTGCTGCTTACATCCTGTGACTGAGAAATCATCTGATTAAACATCACTCATTTTTAATACCCTGAACTACAGCCGTTTAGACACGAGAAATATGAAGCCTCTTTGCAAATGACTATTAGTTTAGCCTTATTGATCCGCAGCAAGCAAAATCTCAGAGTAGTATTTGTAAATGTAAAATTTTATTAAAATTCAAAACTGTTATGAAGACTATCAAACTGGGCAAGGCCAGCCAAATCGTATAACCCATTATCACCGCACAGTTAAATTATGAGCCTGTCACATTGTACTCTTTCATAGGTGCCTCATCAGGTATCTTCTCAGCATTAATGATTTAATGCACAGTGATTTTTAAAAATTATCTTTAACTTTAAAAAGCATAGGTGCCCATCACCCAATGGAATCTAGGTACTTCCCCATTAAGCCTTGTTTATTTTTTATTTATTTTTATTTATTTAATTTTTTTAAACCTTGTTTAAAAATGTCATCTACTAGAATAAGTAATTTTTCCATGCAATTTAAGAGAAAATAGCCTTGATTCAAAAGTGACTGCATCTCTAAATAGTCCTTTAGGCCAAGGATCAGTAAACTTTCTTCTGTCAAGGGTCAGACAGTAAATATTTTAGGCTTTGCAGGCCACACGGTCTATGTAGCAATTACTGAACTCTGTTGCTGTAATGGAAAAGCAGGCAAAAATAACACAGAAATGAGGAGGCATGGCCGTGTTCTGATGAAATTTTATTTACAGAAACGGGCAGGATGCCATGTTTGGCCCACAAGCTATAATTTGCTGGTCCTGATTCAGTTTAAAAATCAGATTCCTTCCTTTTATTGGAATTCACTCTGTGTGATAAACTGCAGCACTTAAGCATGTTGCCTTTGCAGATACGCGCTGTTTGTCTGTTTCACACACGATGCCAGGTGGATGGAAAGGGAATTTATCATCTGGCCTCCCTCGAGCTTGTCTGTCTATGATAATATGTTGATTAAAAAAAAAAAAAAAAAAAAAAAAAAGCCTGTGAGACTAGCCCCCCAAAAGATCACAGTGTTCACAAATGTGTGTTAAGGGAAAGTGAGATACAGAGCGAATTCCCGAAGACTGAAGCTTGAGAAAGCCCCCCCCCCCCCCCCCCGTGTCCGGCAAACCGAGCGTGATCGTTTCCATGGGTTCCATGGGGGACAGGGAAGGTTTTGACTACAAACGTCCAATTCATTTACATTCTCTCTCTTTCCTGGGCCGCGGCAGGCTCAGAGGTGAGTATGAAGCTCATGGCAGGGCAGAACGGGAAAAGCAGAGACTCGGGACCAAGCACAGCTCCAGGCCAGCACCTTCCCGGTTTTCCTTCTCAGCTTCCACAATCCCTTTTCCTACATGGGTCTTTTGAGGTTTTGTTCTAATAATATATACTCTCATTAGGCCTGGGCTGACATGGCCAAGCTCATGCATATCAGAGTTGCCCTAGCAACCAAAGCCTAGGAAGTCACAGGGACAGACACAGCTGCTTCTCCACTGGGACCTGGAAGGCACAGGTCCCTCCAGCACAGTCACCCAACATCAGATCTAAGCATCCACTCCCAACACCAGACTTCTCAGAATAGTATCTTAAAATATAGCCCTGGCCCGTGTGGCTCAGGTGAGTGAACGTCGTCCCATTCACTGAGAGGTCACCTCTTTGAATCACGGTCAGGACACCAGCCTGGACTGCAGACTTGATCCCCAGCAGGAGGTGTGCAAGAGGCCAACCCTGACTGGGGATTGATCAGCAACCTAGGTATATACTCCGACGGGAATCAAACCCACAGCCTTCTGGTACATGGGACTATACTCCAACTAACCGAGACATCCGGCCTGGGACACCCCCTCCTTTTTAAAAAACAATTCATATTTATTTAAATTAGCTGCTTCTGGCCAACTATGTGCAAACCCAAATACATTGGTCTTATAAAAAAAAATTTCCCCAAAATGCTGCTTAGGAGGTTTAGAGTTTGTATAATATTTGTCCCTAATGGAGCTCTAGATGGAAAACAAAGATCTTTCATTTTTTCTGACTGATACAATTTGCCAGCCTAAGACCAACAACAGTCATTTTTAAATAAAAAAATCTCTACCATCAGCTGAATTTCAAATTATTGGTTCAGTGAATCAGCTTCAAACAAAAATGGTTTCATAATGTTTCGCTATAGCATGATATTATGTCTGCTCTGAAAGCAATAATATTGGTAACATTTCTCTTTGAAATGTCTGCCCTTGCCTGCAATGTTGGCTCATTCTCTTGCAGAAAAACTGCAAAAGTTTCCCCAGGAAAGGTACACATATACAAAATTATTTTTCATACACACAAGGAGGAGGGCAGGGTTGAGAATTTAGCAGCGTTAGCACATAGAATTGTTAGATCTGGTTATTTTACAGAGATCTATAGAGTCCTCCTTATGGGCAGGCATTATACTTCTTCCCTGAGGAAGTTCACACCCTGGTGGGCAAAAAACATATACAATACAAAAATAATCCAACTTATAAAGCGGAGGTCTTAGAACCAAGTTAGAAAATGATGCTACTCCAGAATGCGCCCCCGATGTATGAAAATCTCCTATTGCCTAAAGTAGCATGAAAAAGATAATTTCAGTAAGAGAAAATATGGTTACGTGAAAAGCAAGTGTTTTTGCCACAGAAAGGAGATTTTACATGGAAATAAAAGAATTGTATGTTACATTAGCAACTCTGCAAAATGCTTTTCTACCTACCCTGTTTCCCTGAAAATAAGACAGTGTCATATATTAATTTTTTCTCCCAAAGTTGCGCTAGGAACAAACATATAGATCAATGGAATAGAATCGAGAACCCAGATATCAACCCAATCACTATGCTCAATTAATATTTGACAAAGGAGGCACGAATATACAATGGAGTCAAGACAGTTTCTTCAATAAATGGTGTTGGGAAAATTGGGCAGACACATGCAAAAGAATGAAACTAGATCACCAACTTACACCATACACAAAAATAAACTCAAAATGGATACAGGACTTAAACATCAGACGGGAAACCATAAAAATACTAGAAGCATCCACAGGCAGCAAAATCTTAGACGTATGCCAAAAGAACTTCTTCACTGATACTGCCCCTAGAGCAATGGAAGCTAAAGAGAAAATAAACAAATGGGACTACATCAAAATAAAAAGTTTTTTTACAGCAAAAGAAACCATCAACAAAACAACAAGAAAGCCCACGGTGTGGGAGAACATATTTGCAAATAACACCACTGATAAAGGTTTAATCTCCAACATCTACAGACAGCTGATACAACTAAATAAAAGGAAGATGAATGATCCAATTAAAAAATGGGCAATGGACCTAAATAGAATATTTACAAAAGAAGACAGAAGGCAGGCCAAAAGGCACATGAAAACATACTCAAAGTCACTAATTATCCGAGAGATGCAAATCAAAACAACAATGCGGTACCATCTCACACCTGTCAGAATGGCCAACATCAACAAATCAACAAACGACAAGTGTTGGCGAGGTTGCGGAGAAAAAGGAACCCTCGTGCACTGCTGATGGGAATGCAGACTGGTGCAACCACTGTGGAGAACAGTGTGGAGTTTCCTCAAAAAATTGAAAATGGAACTCCCATTTAACCCAGTAATCCCACTTCTAGGAATATTTCCCAAGAAACTAGAAACACCAATCAGAAAAGATATATGCACCCCTATGTTCATAGCAGCACAATCTACAATAGCCAGAATCTGGAAACAGCCTAGGTGCCCATCAGCTGATGATTGGATCCAAAAACTATAATACATCTACACAATGGAATACTATGCTGCCATAAAAAAGAAGGAATTCTCATCATTTGCAGCAACCTGGATGGAATTGGAGACCATCATGCTGAGTGAAATAAGCCAGTCAATGAAAGAGAAACACCACATGACCTCACTCATTTGTGGACAATAAAAAACATTATAAACTGATGAACCAAAAAATAGATATAGAGACAGTAAAGCAACAAGCAGACTGTCAAATTACAGCGGGGAGGGGAGGAGGATCTGGGGAAGATAAGAGATCCACCCAAGGACTTGTATACATGCATATAAGTACAACCAATGGACACAAAACTCTAGGGGGGGGGGTGGTGGGAGGGAGGGAGGGGGGCAAAAAAAAATTAAAAAAAAATATGTAAAAATAAATAAAATTAAATTAAATTTTAAAAAAAGTTGCACTAGGTCTTATTTTCAGAGGAGTCTTAATCTTTCCACGCGCTCGGTCTTATTTTCGGAGGATGTCTTATTTTCGGGGAAACACGGTATTACCTCGGCAGATGCCCAATCCAGGCTGGTGGTGAGGCATGGAGGCGGCCACCACATGCTCCTGCCACAGGAAGTGGGGCGGGTGAGACGAAGAGCTGGGCAGCTCGTTTACACTCGCCCGGCCCTCTCCTACCTCCACGTGCTGCAGGGTGTCTGCAAGTCCTGGGCTGCCAGGGGCTTCGGGGGGAACTGTTCCTGCAGGGGCACCCACACTCCTGGTACCCAGGGGGCTGTGGGCTGTCACTAATGGTAATGTCTGGTAAGAACCGCCAGCCTGCCCGCCCGGCCGGCATGGCTCAGTGGCTGAGCGTCGATCTATGAACAGGAGGTCGCAGTTTCGATTCCCAGTCAGGGCACCCGCCCAGGTTGCAGGCTTGATCCCCAGGAGGGAGCGTGCAGGAGGCAGCCGATCAATGATTCATCACTGTCTCTCCCTCCCTCTCCTTTTCTCTCTAAAATCAATAAAAATATATTTAAAAAACAAACAAACAAAAAAAAACCTAACCACCATCCTGAAAGCGCGTACTTAATGAATTGATGATGTCTTCCTAACTACAGAAAATAATTAAAAATCGTAATGATTTTCTATAACTACCCTATTTATATAAAATATAGAAATACAGAAGCATAAAATATATCTTATAGTGTTA